TCTCTCTCTCTCTCTCTCTCTCTCTCTCTCTCTCTCTCTCTCTCTCTCTCTGAATCTTTCGGTCTCCTTCTCTCTTTATATTACTTCTCTTTCCTTCCCCTTTCCAGCCCCACACAAGCACATATGCATGCGCTCACATGCCTGCAAAAATTGCACAAATGAAAGTAACATGCTCTACGAAAGAACGACCAAGCACACATTTTCAATTTAAAAGACAGTTATATTCCACCAGAATCGCTATACTTAATCCACGAAAACGTGTCTGATTTACTCTTTGTTTAGTGGGTGGTTGGCGGATTCTGTGGTTTGATTTGCTGCTATTTTCACATCAAACATCTACCGTTCTCATCTCTCCTCCTTCTTTTTGTGCTTGTTAAGCTCTTGTAACACTTCCAATCTTCGAAGTTATAAGACCTAATTGTTTTGCAAATGCTGTAAAATCTTACTTAGTAAATCCGTACTCTTTGTTCCAACCAAAACACGAATAAAAAATAATCCCTCCTCCGTCTTTGTTGTGTTTGTTACTTTCTCGCGACAGTTCTAATTTTCGACACTTGTTGACATCATTTTGGTGCAAGTGTTGTAAAAATCTTACTTAATTAATAATTAATACCCTTTGTTTCAACACAAACTCGAATAAAAATGGCGTAAAAAAACGTTCAATTTAAAAAAAATTTAAATTTCGTTTTCGATTACAGGCGTGAAAAGTTGTCACGACACGGCGAGGATAACTTACCACAGGCATCTCGTGGGCTGCAGTACTGCTGTGAATGACAGTTGTCAGACTCAGACTCCGCCCCCTGGCACGCCTTGCCGCACGCGTTGGGGGCGGGGCTAGAGCAGTCACGTGTCCTGCGGCGAAAGCCCGGCCCACAGGTGGCGCTACAGGCTGACCAGGGTGACCACTGGTTCCAGGAGCCGTCCACTGCAGGGGAAACAACAGGCGGCTCGTCGGTTGTAAATCTAACTGGCAGGCATACGTATATGCACACACTCATGCACACACACACACACACACACACACACACACACACACACACA